TTTGACGTCAACTGGATCATACGATGTTGTCGACGAGCTCACCACTTTAGTGGCCCAAGACTGTATGATTGATTAGTATTGAAACATACATATCTTCTATTCTCGTATAAAATTATCGACTTGAGTCGCGTTAGTGAATAATGGAATTAAAATAAGTCAACCACAAGAATGGACTCTTGAATACGTATATTTTGTACACTCGTTGATCTGAAAAGGCAATCAAAGAGACGTAGCGAAGGTAACAAAGAAAACAGAGAGCGAAATTCAACGAAATGGCGTGCAGTGGAGTAGGCTCATAAGCCAACTTGATTTAATCAATATTTATAGTCAGACAAAAATAAACTACAGACAAGTGATGAATAAGATAAGAAATGTACACACACACACACCCACGCTCATATAAAAACAGTCAGGGTTGATAAGTGGACAATTAACAAGGTAAAAGACGTGACTCAAGAAGAATGAATCAATTGGCCTGTCCAGAAGTTAGAATCAGGTATTAATCTTAACATAGTAACCGACACTACACTCTAAAACAATTAATGGCGAGACCATAATTTATGAACGAACCAATCAGATTTACGATAACAGATTTGGAATTTTAGCGCAGAATCCACTGAACCATTTTGCTAAAAAGCGTCTTGGTATTATAGCTGATGTCAGTTCGTGATAAAAAAAAACCGTAAATCTAATTGCTGACCCTAATCATCAAGTGTAAATCATAATCCTTATTCTTCAAACTGCTTTATAACCTTCATTAAGCCTTAGCAAGTAGGTAGACACTCTCAAGGTCACTTTAGCGTCATCCAAATGTCGTTGTTGGGCTTTTGCCAACTTAGGTTACCTATGGCGAAGGCGAGATATCCATCTATCAATTAAGTGGTGAATATACTGTGCGGAAGTTCGTTCTGTTTTACTTGACGGCTGTGAAACGTGACCATTAAGGATAGAAGATACTCGTAAGCTACTAGTATTTGACCACAAATGCCTTACAAATATTGCTGGCATCTGCTGGGATCACCAAGTAAGTAATAGTGAGGTTAGACGCAGGGTATTAGGGAATGATGATAAATCAGTTGATGAGGTTGTGAATCTTCATTGACTGAGATGGTTGGGCCTCGTGTTACGTATGCCTGAACATCGATTACCACGACGTGCAATGCTCACCGGTGTTGGAGATGGCTGGAAGAAAGTTAGGGGCGGTCAAACCAAAATGTGGCATCAGTCCATAAAGTCACTAACTTGTGGTGTGAGCCATGTTGTTAGATGCAGACTACCTGGTTGTGGTCCGCGTGACTATCTTAACTACTTATCGGAGATTCTTGGTGACATGGCTCAGAGTTGATCACGATGGTTCAGGTGTATACACTCTCTGTCTTCTCTTAAACTATGAGATAAAAATCGCTTGATATCTTTATTTCTATGAACTAGTTCTTCCTTGCTTTATTATATCCTTACACACAATCGTTCTTTTATATATTTACCACCATGGAATTAACTACTTCTATGAATTCGATGCTCATCTTGTTGTGCCAACGAGGTATGGCAACTTGGACTGATGCATATATGTGCCTTGTCCTACGTTGTAGCTGACTGACTGACTGACCGTTAGAAAATTACAGTCTCACCCAACTTATGAGTTTAAACTTATTCAGTACAGAAATTTATTGATAATGATAAGGTGAAGTTTACTACTATTTATTGGGTTTTTTTAGTGATTACTTGTTAAGTTATAAACAAAATAGTAACCGGAAGTTCATATAATTAACAGAAATAGAATATTTTGTAGCCATGTCAACCACCTAAATGAAGTTATTTCAACTAAATTCCTCAATTAAATATTATAAGAATAAGCACTGAATTTAATCTACAAGTCGATATACATTCCAAAATGGTTTACTTTAATAGTAAATACACTTTATGTACCAATAGTATGTCTTATATTTTTCAAAGACTTGAGGGTTTCCGACTTAGCCGTATGATAGATATAAACAAAAGGAAGAAACGATAGTTCAGTGCTTCTAGGTTTTCCATAGTGACCTAACTTCAATTGACTCATGAGATCAACTATTCAAATTACTACAATCTCTAAAAAACATCTTTTGATACTAATCAATATATGCTCACTAGTAACTGTCTTCAAGAGTTATATCCTGGAGGTCTAGTGAGAATCAGTGACCAGTGAAGTTCAACCGGGTCAGTTGTAAAATAGGAAGTCACTGAAGATAATCATGGACGGTGGGTCGATTTCATCGATTATTTGAAGTTAGATATTAACACCATTGGATACCGGCCAGCTCAATAGTCTAGTGGTTAAATGCTTGGGTGTGAAACTGATAGGTCCTGTATTCGAATCCCGCGGAGCGAGATCGTGTATGCGTACTGGTGAGAAGTCCCACAATATGAGAAAATGGCCTTCCAGTTCTTCCAGGTTTTTTATGATGGTCTATGATGATGACAGTCTCACCCAACTTATGAGTTTAAACTTATTCAGTACAGAAATTTATTGATAATGATAAGGTGAAGTTTACTACTATTTATTGGGTTTTTTTAGTGATTACTTGTTAAGTTATAAACAAAATAGTAACCGGAAGTTCATATAATTAACAGAAATAGAATATTTTGTAGCCATGTCAACCACCTAAATGAAGTTATTTCAACTAAATTCCTCAATTAAATATTATAAGAATAAGCACTGAATTTAATCTACAAGTCGATATACATTCCAAAATGGTTTACTTTAATAGTAAATACACTTTATGTACCAATAGTATGTCTTATATTTTTCAAAGACTTGAGGGTTTCCGACTTAGCCGTATGATAGATATAAACAAAAGGAAGAAACGATAGTTCAGTGCTTCTAGGTTTTCCATAGTGACCTAACTTCAATTGACTCATGAGATCAACTATTCAAATTACTACAATCTCTAAAAAACATCTTTTGATACTAATCAATATATGCTCACTAGTAACTGTCTTCAAGAGTTATATCCTGGAGGTCTAGTGAGAATCAGTGACCAGTGAAGTTCAACCGGGTCAGTTGTAAAATAGGAAGTCACTGAAGATAATCATGGACGGTGGGTCGATTTCATCGATTATTTGAAGTTAGATATTAACACCATTGGATACCGGCCAGCTCAATAGTCTAGTGGTTAAATGCTTGGGTGTGAAACTGATAGGTCCTGTATTCGAATCCCGCGGAGCGAGATCGTGTATGCGTACTGGTGAGAAGTCCCACAATATGAGAAAATGGCCTTCCAGTTCTTCCAGGTTTTTTATGATGGTCTAGCTTCAATTGACTCGTGATTTCAACCATTAAAATTACTATAATATCCACAAAACCGTTTTCGGAACTAAAGTTAAAAGTATATAATAGTTGAATTGATGTGACACATGTCTTAGTAGTCTAAATCAAGTGTTATTCAATTTTATAAAGTGGGAATAGGATAATGTCTAGTTACATCATTTAAGTATGTAATTAATTAACAGAGTATCTGAAATCTACTTGTATAATATTTAAACTAGTACCTATGTTAGAATGAGTGATTATTTCATAGATTCATTGATAAAGTACACTATACTGATTTTAGTCTTACGTTAGTTACAAAAGGCTCCCAAATCCACTGGTAATGCCAAAGGTGGGGAGAGTCAGCTCTCCTTCTCCAAATACTCTCAAATGATCACATGCATACAACCACTATCACACAAGTCCTACTCACTGTCTCTTCGCGGTATTAGTGTTGCTTACGAAATTAAGAGGATGAAAATCGAATGTCCGACGCTTTAATCGGGTTGGTGGATATGGAGGATCCACTCAGGGGTAATCGGAAAACCCTCATTCCAAACCAATGCTAAACATGTGCTCCAGGATCGTGAGGAAATAAAAGGTTTATGAACCAATTATTGGTCACCGACTGCCATGTGACTGCATCTCCTGACATTACTCCATTACATTGTAAATTAGAGCTATAGGTCGATCGCTCCGATTGTGGTCCCACTAAGAAAACCACCTACTTTATTTCTGGATACTCATGCAATATTTCATCCCACACACAAATCAATTATCTAATGTCTACGCAAGATACTCAACATTCATTGGCCGGATACCATTAGCAACAGTCTACTGTGGAAGTGAACAAATCACCTTCCAAATGAAGAGGAAATTAGGAAAAGACACTAGAAGTGGATAGGGCATACATTACGCAAATCATCAAACTACTTCACGAGACAAGCCCTAGCTTGGAATCTTGAAGGGAAACGGAAAAGAGGAAGGCCAAAGAACACATTACGTTGGGAAATAGAAGCACATATGAAAAGGATGAATAACAACTGGAAGGGGCTTAAAAGGATTGCCCAGGACAGGGTTGGATGGAGAATGCTGGTAAGCGACCTATGCTCCTTGAAAAGGAGTAACAGGCGTAAGTAAGTATGTATCTATGTATCACATATATATTCAGTACCCATTTTCATCAATATTTATGATTATTTATTTTATTAATTGTACACATAAAATATCTTTGGATCAATAAAGTACTCTATTGAAATAAACAGTTATCTCAAGGTAAATGCAATATTACATAACTGATACACTTCAAAAAGATTATTGTTATTTCACTGGTTGAAATCATGAGTCAATTGAAGCTAGACCACCATGGAAAACCTGAAAGCACTGGACGGCTTTTTCGTCCTAGTATGGGTTGGTTGAAGTTAGACATTAACACCATTGAATACCGACTCAGTGGTCTAGTTGATTAAGCGCCTGGTGCGAGACTGATAGTTCGTGGTTTCGAATCTCGCAAGGTGCGGGATCGTGGGTGAGCACTGTTGAGGAGTCCTATACTAGGACGAAATGACCGTCCAGTGCTTCTAGGTTTTTCATGATAGTCTAGCTTTAATTGACTCATGATTTCAATCAGTGAAATTTCTAAAAATCTCCACAAAACCCATTCTGACAATAATAATAATAATTATTATTATTATTATTACATCATAAGACTTACTTCAGATTGTTTAGACATACATGACAATTTAGATCCCATATTTCAATAAATTGTTATTTATTATATAGAATTATATGTTTATATAGACAAGCACTTAAGATAGATGTTAATATATCCAAATTGATGATACAGAATGTGTTATTTTTGTTTTATTATGAATTGAGTTAATGATTGTTTCCTGTTAGATAATGTTAATGTGTTAAAAGTAATTCCAATGTAATAGATCAATATTACAATTGCTGACGCGGATGCTGATACGGTTGCTGATACGGTTGCTGATGTGGTTGCTGACTCGGTTGCTGATACGGTTGCTGATGTGGTTGCTGACTTGGTTGCTGATGCGGTTGTTGTTGCTATGCAACTATTATCACTGTAAATTCTATTTTCTTTTCTTTTAAACGTAGACACTAGGTAATCTATGTACTAATGTTTCCAATTATAGAATTTTTGTAAGTTTATACACTATTTATTGTATAGTTGTTTGTAATAAATAAACATAAATATGAATAATCATAAATTAGATAAGAGAGTATATCACCTACGTACAATCATCATAATATACATTTCTCATAAGGTCAAGTTAAATATGAACAAAATTTTGATAGACGGACAAATTTATGTATTAAGTAGTATAATATATACATTGACAATCACCAATTTATATTTTTTTTTGTCAATGTTATATACGATTGAATAAGTAACCAATAGAAAGGATCTATTATGAATGTATATGTATCTATATATATATATATATATATATATATATATATATATATATATATATATATATATATATATATATATATATATATATATATATTTATGTATCCATGTATATAGGAGGTACTTTTTTGCTTAGCAACTTGTAAGTGTTTCAATATGGTACATGCATGCATGTTTACACGTGTCTATAATGTACAGAAAACATAATATACATATATAAAAAGAAAAAAGATCTATAGAACTGATGATGATAATGATGATAGAAAGATTCAATGTTCAAAATGAGGTTTGTGAAGAATTGTGATAATTTTCAATAGTTGAATTCATATATCAATGTAAGCTAGATTATCAATGGAAAACTTGGAAATATTGGATGATTGTTTCGTTCTAGCAGTACACATTCACTATCTTACACATAGGGACTCAAACCTAGGATATTGAGTCTTGCGTGTGAATATTTAATCTCTAGATCACTGAGTTAGTATCCAATGATGTTAATATCTTACTTACATCGATCCATGAATGGCTACGCAACTATTGATCCATTGTCTGAGATAGATACTTGTCTCTATCCAACATAGACTGGACTCCACTTGTTATGGCTTCTCACTTGAATAACAGGAAATCATCTTGAAGTCATTCATTAGTGAGCATATGATGATTATGATCGGAATGGGGTTTGTGAAGAATTGTGATAATTTTCAATAGTTGAATTCATGTATCAATGTCAGCTAGATCATCATTGGCAAACTTGGAAATATCGGACGATTGTTTCATTCTAGTAGTACACATTTACGACCATGCATATGGGGACTCGAACCTGGGATATTGGGTCTCACGTGTGAACATTTAATCTTTAGACCACGATGTTAATGCGTAACTATTGATCCATTGTCTGAGGTAGATACTTATCTCTATCCGACACAGATTGTAGTCCACTGGTTATGGCTTGTTACTAGAATTATAGGAAATCATCTTGAAGTCATTCATTAGTGAGCACATGATGATTATGACCAGAATGGGATCATTTTAATAGTTGAATTCATGAATCGATATAAACTAGGACGAAAGGGCCATCCAGTGCTTCCAAGTATCCAATGGTGGTCTAGCATATATCGACTAATGAATTTAACTATTGAAATATTTAATGTTATTGAAGAATTATTAATCACAAAACTAATGGTATTAAACAGAATAAAACAGGGAAGTGAACTTCAACTCTGGGATAAAGGTAAATCTAGCTGGGGAGTCCCAAATAGAACAGAACGCATGTCCTGGACTCCATTGCTAGCTACTATCCATCTTTACTTATAATGCTTGTGACTTAAGGCAATATCAAGGCAATCCCTATAGGATGCAGATATACTAATAAAAGACTGATCAATTTCAGTCCTAAACATCAATGTGAAGATTCATGTAAACAATACCAAGTGAATATAAAACGTAGATATTCCTTGTGTTATCCTACCAGATTTCCTTGAGGACTGTGACATTTATGCTGGTTGACCATTGAGTAACTAAGTAACTAACCTTGTCCCCGTCTAATTACCAGATCATCAAAACTTATAGTTGAATTGTGACTTTATGGATATCATTAAATCAACAGTAAGAGTATAGTATTCTTGACATTAATGATCTGTTGTTTGAAAGAGTCAAAGGCAGTGTATACTCAGATAGACGTAATTTAAATGTAGAAAGTCGTCCACTAGGTCCAATGGTTGAACAAACAAGCAATCATATGTCTTCAAGGTTTACATTGACAATTCTAATCTAATATCTGCCATAACACTGAACTAAGCCCAGTATTGCTTCTGGTACTTACCAGATTTCTACCTTTATTCTTCAAATTAACGTCATAGTTTATCAGTAAATGTTCTTAATAAAAAATCCTTCAACAACAGGTCAGGAAAACCAGTGCGTCGAAAATTCCTTCCAATGAAGATGGTTCTCAATTTAATGTGATACCATATCACCGTGAGTTAGAAAATACTAATGTGTATTTTGTTCCGGTTTAGAATTACATATCAATAATCATTGGAAACTTAATTACGCCTATTACTCCTCCTGGAGGAGAATAAGTCACACACCAGCATTCTCCGTCCAACCCTGTCCTCAGGAATCCTTTCTAATTCTTTCCATTTGATATTCATCCTTTTCATGTCTGCTTCCTATTCCCGACGTGGTGTGTTATTTGGTCTTCCTCATTTCCATCTCTCTTCATGGTTCCAAGTTAACGATTGCCTAGGGATGCAGTTTGGTGATTTCCATAATTTATGTCCTATCCATTTCCATTATCTTTTCCTAATTGCCTCTTCAGTTGGAATCTGGTTTGTTCTCTCCCACAGTAAGTTGTTGCTAATCGCATCCAATCAACGGATAATGAGTATTTTGTGTAAACAATTGTTTACAAATACTAGTACATTGTTAATGATGGTTGTGATAATTCTTCAAGTTTCAGCTCCGTACAATTTAACTCAATATCTGGAAGTTTGCATTGAAGATTTTGACTTTGATATTGACTGACAGGTGTTTCAGTTCCATATTCGTAATGTTGAGTGTATAATGCTTTAGTTACTATTGACGTTTATGAAATAGTAATGACCATTCCTAAAAATAATCTGTCACGATGGAGTAAAAAATAGAGAAATGTAATAAGAAGCTCTATCTTTACACCTCTATTGGATATGGAATACTATACTGATAAAAATGTTACAGTTACAATTATATGCTAAATCCTATTCGATAAATCTCATTACTTCAATATTTTACATTCCTCAAATGCCCTGGTACGGCTGAAAATGGGGAGAGTCAGATCTCCCCCTCAAACTGCTCTCAAATGGCCACGCTTATACAGCCACTGTCAGGTAACTCCTACTAGGTACTTTTTCGTGGCATTACCGTTGTTTACGAAATTGAGATGATGAAAAGTGAATGTCCGGCACTTTAACCGCGTTGGTAGATCCACCTAAGAGAGTTGAATAACCCTCATTCCAAACCAATGATAGACATGAGCTCCAGTATCCTAAAGGAACAAATCGCGTATGAACCAACTGTTGGTCACCGGCTACCATGGGACCGCATCTCCTGACGTTGCTCCACTGTCTAGAGGACCAGACCCTTAGGTCGAATGCTCTGGGTGTTGCCCCCTAAGAAAACCACCTGTTTCGGTCTGGGCACCCGGTTAGTATCACAGCCCACACACAAATCAAATGGCTTGTATGGCACATATGTATTCTGTGCCTCTTTGTACCGTGTTCAACTGAATAGATCCAGAGCAAGCTTAATCATTACTATCTTATCGAACGAACATCTTGTTTATAACCTGTGAAAATCGGTCAGTTTATCACTATCAGTTTAGAAAGATAATTAAAACTCAGTAGGTAAGTGGATAACGCTATGACACCTGAAGCGAACGGTACTGGGTTCGAGTCTCAGAGTGAACATCAACTCTGAGATGCAGGTACACCCAGCTGCCGAATCCCAAATAAGACGAAACTCGCCTCAAACTAGATTTCACTCCTAGCCACTATCCATCTTTGCTGCTAATTTAAAACAGTTTTCTAAGTTCATTATTGATTATCCTCATTAACTTGTTCTAATGTACTTACCATTTTACAAGTTATAAATCATTAATAGATAATAAAGAGAGTTTAACAATATACAAAATCAATTAAAATGTATTACCTTAATTACATTGATTACCTATGTACTAGTTACAGTGACTCATTTGTAAACTCTTTTTGTCTATACATACACTATTTGTCTGACAATTGTCTGAATTGAATATTTCTCTTCCCTTTTAACTATTACAACTGTTACTATTATCATTACTAGTTATGTTAATATGTTCAAATGTTATATAGTAATAACAGTATACACATTTTGAATGATATTTCTTTCAATAGTTAAGATCATGAGTCAATTGAAGTTAGACAAACATGGAAAATCTGAAAGAACTGGAAGGCCACTTTTCATATTGTGGGACTTCTCACCAGTAAGCATACACGATATCGCTCCGCGGGATTCGAACACAGGATCTATCAGTCTCACATGTGAGTACTTAACAACTAGACCATTGAGCTGGCCGGTATCCAATGGTGTTAATATCTAACCTCCACTAATCTACGAAATTGAGTGACACATCAACTATTGTCATCAGTGAGTTAATATCTCATAACAGAACCGATTGAACTCCACTGGTCACGGATTCTCACTAGACCTCCAGGATATAACTCTTGAAGCCAGTTACTAGTGAGCATATATTGATTAGTATCAGAAGGTGTTTTTTGGAGATTGTAGTAATTTGAATAGTTGATCACATGAGTCAATTGAAGTTAGGTCACTATGGAAAACCTGGAAGCCCTGGATGGCCGTTTCGTCCTACTGTAGGACTCCTCAGAAATATTTTTTCACAGGAAATATTAAATGAATGATTGGTTTTTAAAAAGTGCGTTAGGAATAATTGGAATATGTACATATATGGAGTATATTAATATAAAAAACCCAATAATTAAGAGAGACAGAGGCTGATTAAGATAACTTTTCAAATTACACTAAAAATTGAATAGATCTGGTAAAGAACCTGTGATCAGTGGAGTTCAACCAGATCTGTTGTGAGATAGTAACTGAGTGAAAACAATGGTAGATGGTAGTACAATTTGATTAAAATCATGAATGGATTAATGTTAGATCACCATTGAAAACCTGGAATCAGTGGACGATCATTTCATCCTAGTATGGGACTCCTTAGCAGTGCGTATCCACGATCCCGTCCATGCGATTCGAACCCAGAACCTTTGGTCTCGCGCTTGAATGCCTATCCTTTAGACCACTGAACCAGCATCCAACTGTGTTAATGTCTGACCTCAACCAATCCACGAAATTGCATTACCATCCACTAATACCTTCAGTGAATTACTGCCTCACAACAAACACAGTTAAACTCCATTGGTCACTAGACCTTCAGAATATACCTCCTGGAAACCGTCACTAGTGAGCCTATATTGA